ACAGGCAGGCAGACAGACAGACAGACAGGCAGGCAGACAGGCAGACAGACAGACAGACAGGCAGGCAGACAGGCAGGCAGACAGACAGGCAGGCAGACAGACAGACAGGCAGGCAGGCAGACAGACAGACAGACAGACGGACGGACGGACTTGAAGAGGGAAGAATGAGACAAAAAGGAAGGAGGAGAAAAAAGAGAAATAGAAAATAGTTGAGGAGGTGAGAGATTAAAGGAACGAGAGAGAATAGAGAAAGTGAGAGAACGAGATAGAGAAAGTAGAAGGATAAGGGTGAGAATGAGAGGGAGAATAACTAGGAAATGGTAGAGATAGCAGAAGAGAAAAGAGAGAGTGAGTGAGAAAAGGCAAAAAATAAGCAGACTAAGAGAGAGAGAGAGAGAGAGAGAGAGAGAGAGAGAGAGAGACACACACACACACACGTCTATTCCTGTCTGTATACATGTGTGTGTCTGTGTTCCTCTCTTGTATGTATGTATGTATGTTTGTGTACATGTGCACATACCGACTTAACACGCCCCCCCTAAAGCTGTCATTAATATTTAAACACAGATGGATACAATTTAACCTTGTCTGTCTGTCTGTCTGCTTTTCTACCTGTTTCTGCTTTTCTACCTGTCCATATATCTACCTGTGTATTTGTTTTCCCTGTCTGTATTGGTATGTCTCTCTGCTATCTATCTGTCTGCCTGTCTGTCTCTGTCTGTCTCTGTGTCTGTCTTTCTGTCTACCTCTGTGTCTGTCTATTTTCTGTCAATAAATCAATATCATACACATTAAATTTAGGTTTTCTGGTGGACAATAGTGGACTGAGGTGACGGTAACCAAACTATGAATACTGATTGTAATTGGTTGAAAAAAATTATTATACTCTTTTTGTGATTGGTTAAAAAATATATTGTAATGTTTTGTGATTGGTTGATAAACTTGAATAGGATGACGGTAATTGGTTGAAAATATAATTATGTCTTATGATTGGTTGAAAATTTTTTTGATTATAATTCGTCTGGTGATTATTGATTTAGATTATAGATGAGTAAATATTATATGTATATTATATTGTTAATTATATGAAGTATGATTATAGTACCGGCAAAATTATAGGAATATGAGAGGACTAGATTATTGATTACAGGAATTATGAGTAAAGAGGCAACTAGAGTATAATTATAGGAAGATGAGACGACCAGATTATTGATTACAGGAATTATGAGTAAAGAGGCAACTAGAGTATAATTATAGGGAAGATGAGGAGGGATTTGTGGATTATATGAATTACGACATAATCCCATCCAGATTATAGGGATTATAAAAATTATACCATGAGCACAGATTATTGAGAAGGTAATCATCGTTAGGAGTATAACTTCGAATATTTCATTGACCGGATTATATGAATGCCTATAACTATGATTGGACTATATGTATAACAACTACATCAGGATTTAAACGCTAATCCAAATTTAGATTCAACTTAATCAAAACCTAATTATCCCTAATCTCTAATCACCAGAGTCCAGGATTCTCAAGGGTAGTTCCTCAGGTCCAAGAATGGTGTTGTGGACAAAATGGAGTCAGGATTGGACTGTGTGTTAAGATATTTTCTAATCCTTTACTCAGAGAGGATAATGACCTAGCCAATCTTTGTGAATCCGAAATATGTCGTAGGATTTCAGAGGTCCTTAAGTTCAGTTTATTCTCGTCACTGGATACTATAAGTGTATTTCTAACTGATCAAGATACAAAATGGCATCAAAATTGTACCGAGACTTTTAATAGATGTTTTCAGTTGAGTAGTCAAGAGAGAGGTGTGTTCATTTTAGGGAGTTCATGACAGACGCGTTCAATACGGAGCTCTTTAATAGATGCGTTCACTTCATCCCCCTTACCAAGCTTGCCGGGAGAGAGGAAGGGGGGAGGTGGAGGGCGATTTTCAAATGAATGTCCGAATCTTTGTGAATCTGTGTGAATCGGGACTCTGGGCTGGATCACACAACCAATCCGCACCACAGCCAGCTTTGTCAACCCTTTGAGCTGGCCCGCCCACCCCCGATGAAGCCCGCCTCTGATTGGCTGCCGGAGACCCCCTCACTGCATCACAAGGCTCTCCACGACTCTGAGTGACGTTAACACTATTATTATGGTTATTAGCTCATACAAATTACACATGGGTGGAAATGAAATCAGCAAATAGAGGTGGGGGGAAGAGGGATAGGGGAGATGTGGATGGTCTACGAACCCTACCCCTCCTTCCCCTCTCTCCCCCTCCCAAGCCATTCTTTTCTTTGTTGGCGAACTTCCTTAGGCGAGAGACGCCACTGGGTTGCGAGTCGTGTTTATTTAACCTTTTAACGTTTATTCTCCTTCTCTCTATCATTTCCTTCCTATTCCTCTACGACCATCATTTCACGCGTGTTGTTCAGAGAGAAGCTAGTCGTTAACTATACAGGAACGAAGAAAGAGCCGGGGTTTTATGGAGAGGTTGAGGGGGTGTGATAACATGTGGACCATGATGGAACACTCCGGGTGTAGAGGAGACTACATCATCAAATTCATATCATTGAAATTTGTCGCTAACATGTGCGAGTGAGTGACTTTGGAACAGGAAATAAGGGGCTGGTGGTGGTGGTGGTGGGAGGAGC